GCAGCCCCTGCCAAGGCCTGACCACCCTTTCCAGGGAGAAATTCCTCAAAAATATTCCCCCAGAAGTCCCTCAAAACAGCTGAATCCAACAAAAACGAATCCCCAAGTCCCAGATGAAAGGGTCAACCCCCCCCCAAACATTTCTGCCCCTCTGCACACGGGTGACAGAACTGCCTCGGGCCCCTGGGAGGGACACAAACCCACTGTACTGATTTTCTGTGTGATCTAACGAGGTTAATGAAGATCTGTACCAGAGGCATTGATTACCTGGAGAATATCCATGTCCCTGGGACAGAGGGGAAGCCCTGGTTTCAGTGAGGAAGCCCCAGAAATCCCTGGCACAGGACAGGAACCATCACCTCTCCACGCTCCCCTTAACCCTGACCCAGCAGGTACTGTCTGTCCCTGCAATCCTGTTGCTGTGCACATCATCTCCATGAGCACTGAGCCTCTGCACTAAAACCTGTTCTGACCAGGCCCAGTGACTTTCCAGAGAGCTTAAACCAACCTAAGGTCAACAAGGAGAACCAGAACATTTCCCTGGGGAGGATTTCCTGCCTTGCCAAACAGATGCAGCACCAGCAGACACAGAGCCTGGGCTGCCACAGGAGGAATGAGCAAAACCCTGCACAGGAATGCACAGAAACACTTCCTGAGCTCAGCAAATAGTTTAAAGACACCCTCCAGCCATTCCAGGCTCCTTTGTTTTCACAGAGGCAACACACACAACCTGTCAAAAGCCAATATTTAATTGAGAGGAAATGCACCACAGCCGTGGAAATATCCTGGGTTATGGTAACGATATCGAAACCATCATTTCCATTTCCCACAACAACTCAGGACTGCAGAGCCTGGGGAGCCTCCTGCCCCCCAGCCTGGAGGCACAGCCCCGGGGGGCTCTGTGGGGAGGGCTGGGGAGCTGACAGGGCTGCTGCAGCTCCCGGGGGTCCATCAGGAGGGCACTGAGGGGCTCAGCCCTCCAGGGGTGCAGGGCCAGCTCCCAGGCACCTGCATCCCCCCAAACGAGGGAAGCACTTGGGAGCCAGCTCATTCCAGCAATGGTTGCATCACTTCAGAGTTCAAGCTCGCCCTGGAGACCACGAGAGGAACCACCCTGCCAAAAATGAATAAATAAAATAACCACCAGTGTTTGCACACTTGAGTGTGGTTTCCGTGTGTGTCTGAGAACCACTCAAACCAGCCACAACATGGGGAATTCACCCAGCCATTTAAGGGGTTCACAGTTGCAGGAACACACAAAACCAGACTGCCATTCCCTCGTGCACTGTCACAGAGCAGCTACAGCCTGGCAGTGGAAATACTTGCTGGAGGAAGAGATAAATTGCTCAGTTAACTCCGACACAGACCCTTCAGCGAGGCATGAGCCTACAAAGGGCTTCATATTTCTCATGAGGCACAGTTTTAGAACCTTAGGGCAGGCTGCCCAGAGCAGCTGTGGCCTCCCAGGATCCCTGGAAGTGTCCAGGGCCAGGTTGGA